GGTTAAGTGGGGATGTAGTGCGAAGGAGTGGTGGAGAGAGAGAGAGAGAGAGAGAGAGAGAGAGAGAGAGAGAGAGAGAGAGAGAGAGAGAGAGATTAAAGAGAAACAAGAAGGAGAGATGACACGTGTATGCGCGCGAGCGGGGCACAGTGACCGCCCACACAGCCTCAAACCGTGGGCGCCCCACGAGAGCGGTCCGGCCCGCACACTTTCTCGTAGATCTGTGACATCATCGTCTCTATCCTGCTCATCCGCTCCTCCATGGCGATCTGCCTTATCCGGACGTGGTCGATCCCAGTGTGCATCTCAGACTGCGCCTTGCTGACCTCCACGAGGGTCACGGCGTTATCCGTCAGCCTACGGCGCCGGTTCTTTAACTCTCGGATGTTGTAGATGGCGTGGAGAAGTTTCGTCTGCAGTCTCAGTACCACCCTTTCGTCTTCGCTCGTCTTATTGCTAAGTTTGTGAATTTTGTACAGCTTCCACCCGTTTTTCACGATGTTCGCGGCTTCAATTTTGAGTTTGTTACCGATTTCGATTTCTAGAACGAAATCGTGAACGTATTTTTCCGCCTGTGACAGTTCTAGTTTCCGAGCGAGTACCGCTACGATCAGTGCAGTACATCCCGTTCCCATAATGCCCGTGACGACAGCGATACCCCGGCCGCAGTACGAGTTGGGCACGATGTCTCCGTATCCGACAGTGAGGAACGTGATGGCGATGAGCCACATAGAGTTGAGGAAGTTGCCATGGACACGGGCGTGGAAAGCGTCGTTGTACATCTCGCAGAGTCTGAGAGTCCAGCTGGTGATGATAAACAGCGAGACCATGAAAACCGCCAGAAAGTAGTCCGGATACAGAGCCATAAACGACTTGAAGATAAACCGAAAGTTAAAGTGAATTCTGTTAAGTGCGCCGAGACTCTGACAACTGGCGTCTTGGTAGAGCCTGCTGTGCAGCATGAGGAATCTACACACGAGGTAAAGCCTCAGGAACATGGGCAGAGACAGAATAACGTCTAGCGGAACTTGTACAGGCTTATCCGAGAGGTTCCCGTCCGACTCCGTGGTGTACCACGAGATGTAATACTCCCCAGGTATAGGGTGAACGATGCAGATGACAGCTTCAGCCAAAGCGGAGAGCAGCCGGCGCGGCCTCATAGCCAGACGCCAATTGTCCATGCTGTTGTTGACGGTGAAGAGTTGCACGCCCATTTTGTGGTACATAAAGATGAAGATGAGCAGCGCCACGGTGGAAGCGGTCACACACATCTTGAGGAAGATAGAAGTTATGTCCGTTCGTCGTATGACCTCGGCGGCTGCCAGCTCCGTCTCCACGATCATCAGAACGATGCCTGTGGTCATGAAATAAAACCAGACATTGTTGTTGTTAAGTGTTGGCTTTATTCTCAGTAATCAAGTCAAAGATGTAAATCCCTTAAAGCTTATATAATATTCGTTTGGTATAGAGCGCTTATATGAATACGATGTATATCAAGGAACAAAGAAAGTGTGTATAAAAATCATACGTTTTGTAGGAAAACTAATGTTAATCAGATAATCCATTTCTTATCTAGACTACACGCATTCATGTATCCAGGAAGAAGCCATGAAGATCAATCATTTTCTTTGAGTGTTTATTTTCGCACAAAAAGCCATTGAACGTTTAGCTTCTAGATTCTTTCTAACTATTGCCCAAGTTCACCTAACGTTCAGGGATGATAAGTTTTTACTGAGATTGTTCTTCATCCAGGGACATTTCCAGCGGGACATTAAAATGGTATCTTTCTCTATCCAACTGATCTCCACAGCCCACCAAAATTACCAAACTACCCACATGTGGTTGATATTATGCAGGTCAGCAAGTACTGGCCTAAACTGTAAAGTAGGTCTCCAATAATGTCTTACCGACCAAAGCCATGGCTAAAGAAGCATCGCAGATTTTCTTTCTTTTGGCATAGAGCTCTTTCCTCAGTGCCAGACGGATGCCCACGTTCTCAAACTTGGGGTTGGGCTTCTTCGGCGTGATGCTAGCCCCGCCCTCAGACCTGCTCATCGAACGTGTGGTGTACATCCTCTGCAAAGCCCCGCCCCTGCCCACGCTCCCTCGCTTGCCGTTCATCCCAACCAATGGGATTGCCGGGTCCTCTATGATGGTACTCATCCTCTTGTGGGCTTGCCTGGAAGAGAAAGAAAACAACTGTGAGGTAGGCCACGCTATCAATGAGATCGTATGAAAGGCAGCTTTATGTGAGGACGAGTGCAGCCGGTAACGCCACATTTCACCATTAACAGGCTATGATCTATATATAATAGTAGTGCTGGCAAAAGTGGGCTCAAACTGCAAAACATCAGCCAATCTCCGGGAAACTAGCGGAATCCGTTTCTGATCTGAGGGAAAACTAATAATAATATTCGTTTCAAAACGTTTAGCAGTTAGAAAACCAGCAAAATGCATACAATAACCACTTTTGTTTAATATTTTCAACATTCCAAAACAACAAATACTCGAGTGTTGGTGCCTTAACAAATATTCAGCGTTATGGAGGTGCATTTGACACACCTCACACATCCTACACGCATGTTTCAAGCGATGTTGACATATAGAAGAAATACGACCCATCCAACATTATTTCCACAGCTTAATACTAAACTATGGTTATGTAAAAAAGATGACGGAGTTTTCTTGCATTGTGAACTTACGCCATGTCGTTCAGTGACTGGCTAGACCCAACCTCCATATTATATTATTACGAAAGTGCGAATGTACCCATTAATATCGATAGGAAGCGCCAAACATACACAGTTATACCTCGAAGGCTCGGAATTTTTATTCATGTAGTTGGAGGCATCTTGAAAAGAAGCTAAGTTATTTAATAAGCAGATCACTTGGTCCCTCTGGTAAACACATAGTCGGGAGTAATATTTCACTTGTCCCATAAAAGACAAAGTACTCCTGGCCAAAGGTAACGATAGACGGGAGACCCACATCTCTGCGCGTTGGTCAAGCTCGACGATTGACTCCACCAACAAACACACACATGGACAATACTAACACTAACATACATGTACACACACACACACACACACACACACACACACACACACACACACACACACACACATGAACACACACACACATGCACACACACCTTTGTTTATTTCTTTAGATACATGAACACTCACGGATACACACATACACAATGTTAATACAACGTATATTAAAAATATACACACACGTACTGATAAATACACGAGTCAACGCATACGTAGTAATGTACCGTTCCCACTTCTGTGGTGTGCGTCTGCTTGTCTCCACAGCACCCACCCCCCCTCCAACCCCCAATAATCCGCCCACACACACAGACACAAAAATACACAGATACAAGAGGGTGACCTCCTTTCTCTCTCCGTCTCTGTCTCTGTCTGTCGTTCTGTCTCTCACTCTTACTTTCTCACATACGTAGACACACAAACAAACTCCCCACACAAACACACATACACACACACACACACACACACACATACACACACACACACACACACACACACTCACATACACATATTCCCCACCCTACTCCAAACGCACACATACGGCTGAGTCCTTGTAAAGATAATAGGAGAAGCAAAGAGATCAAACGGCATTATGGGAGTCGTGCATCTCAGGAAGCTGTTCGTCGAATCTTCGTGACAACATAAGCCATACTGTCTTCCTCTGCAGACAAGAGCGTTTGCAGTGCAGCCATGCCCAACGAGCGCAACGAAGTATGGGGGGTGTGTGTGTGGG